AAGTTGGTGGAATAGTTTACACGTTCGGCTCATGTCCGGAATATATGAAGGTGCGAACCCTTTACTTGCGTATAAAAAGATTAGACTCTATTAGACTTTTTATAAAATTGCATAGAAGTAACTGTAATAATCCATTTTATTATATAAATATATTAGTGATAGCCTGTTTAGCTTAATTGGTAAAGTATACTGCTCATAACAGTAATTATAAAAGTTCAAGTCTTTTGATAGGTATAAAGGTGAGTATAGGTTAATGGTAGACTTATCGACTTCCAATCGAGGTGTGTCAGTTCAATTCTGACTATTCATAAAAAATATAAAGACAAAAAGTCCGAGTGATGAAATTGGTAAACATGACAAATTTAAAATTTGTTGACGAAAGTCTTAAAGGTTCAAGTCCTTTTTCGGACACTACAGTTTAAATAATAATTAAGCTTAAAGAAGTATATTACATAGCCTTAAATTTGCTATATAATATATTTAGCCATAAACTCCATATATATGGTGATATTATTAAATATTTACATTTTTATTTTTCATTTCATGTTATTATCTACTTTAGTTATTATACCTATAATTGGTATAGTCATTATATCTAGCATTAATGCTAAAAAAATAGAACAAATGGTAGCTCTAGCTACTAGTATATTAAATTTAATAATATCTTTAGTTATATTTTTATTATTTAATAATAGTACAAATCAATTTCAATTTGTACAAGAGCATTACAATACACAATTGTTTGATATATATTTAGGTATAGATGGAGTCTCAATATTTTTTGTATTATTAACTACAATAATTATGCCTATAGCATTACTAGCAAATTGAGATTCTATTAAAGAAAATGTTAAATCATACCTAATAATAATGCTATTATTAGAAACATTATTGTTAATGGTATTTATGGTTTTAGACATTATGTTATTTTATATATTTTTTGAAAGTATATTACCCCCTCTATTTATCTTAATAGGGATATTTGGGTCAGATAATAAAGTAAATGCTAGTTATTATATCTTTTTATATACATTATGAGGATCGTTATTTTTATTATTATCTATTTTAAGTACATCTTCTGCAATGGGAACAACAGATTTTGATACTTTATTCAAATTAAATTTTGAGTTTAATACACAAAAAGTTTTATTTATAGGGATATTTATAGCTTTTGCCGTAAAAACTCCAACAATCTTTTTAAATAATTGATTATTAAAAGCTCACGTTGAATCTCCTTTAGGTGGAAGTATCGTTTTAGCAGCTATTGTTTTAAAATTAAGTTTATATGGTATATTTAGATTGATATTACCTATCTTACCGAAAGCTTCTTTAAATTATACTTTTATTATATACACTATAGGTGTTATAACTATAATATATGCTAGCTTTAGTAAATTAAGAACAACAGATATAAAAGAATTAATTGCCTATAGTTCAGTTTGTCACGAATCTGTTTATTTAATAGGTATTTTTAGTAATACTATACAAGGATTAGAAGGTAGTATAGTATTAGGTTTAGCACATGGTTTTGTATCTAGTGGTTTATTTATAGCAGCAGGTGGTGTTCTTTATGACAGAACAGGTACAAGAAGTATATACTTTTATAGAGGAATCGCTCAATTAATGCCTATATTTGCTATATTATTCTT